AAGTGCAGTAGTCTCAGAGGCTTGAACTGAAAAAGATGGCACATGAAGACATAACCATTTTTTCCAGCGTTCCAGTCCAAAGACAGATTTATTCAGGAGGGATATGTAACCAGAGAAAAGTATAGTTTAAAGTAAAAGAGAAAAAGAAAAAAGAAAGATGCTACTAGTTGGTCAAGACACATAGGTATATATGTACACACACACACACACACACCCCATGCAAAAACATGATGGAGAGTTTAATAATAATTAATTTACCTTAAGGGTGAAACTACTATTGTAAATCAAGTATTTTGTTTATACTCTTCCTTCATTTTTAAAAATTTATTTCATATTCATATTAATTTTAAATCTCAAATACTGTAATTAGTAATGCTTGCAACCATAACATTTGAAAGCGTAATTAATATTGATTGAATATCTTTTTATATTCTCTTTTATGTCTATTTAACTCTCTAAGGTACTTATATGGTAGAATATTAAGAATCTAATATGTTCTATATTATTTTATTATTTTATTGAGCCAAAATAATGTGTTGCATTAAAACTAAGAGAATGGAACAATAGATAGTTTATATGACTTAAAAGACTGAGGTAGTTCTATATTGATATTTTTAACTGTACCTCACACAGAGTCCCTCTGTGAGTGAGATGGGCAGTTTCTAAATGTGACAAATAAATAAAATAAATGCCACATGTTTATTCATTCTATATTTTTTTCTAATTTGATTAGTATTGCTATATTTTGGGTTGTATTTTTTTCATATCTTCTGGCTATGTACTATATATGTATGCATATGTACCATACAGATAGAAGCTACTATTTGTACCATACAAATAGAAGCTACTGTATGCCAATTATTTTGGGTGGAAAGTTTCAATGTAAAAAAAGAAAGAAACACATTCTTAAATAAGGATAGAATAAGCTCATCTGATACCCAGAAAACTCCCCCCCCCAACAAAAAAGAAAAAAAGAAAAGGAAGAAAATATCTTTTATCAATTCACTCTTCAGAGTACAATATTATATGTTTAGCTTTCTGGAGACAGAGGTTATTGGAAGCGTTCAAACTATTGCCCAAAGTGAATTTCATGATGGGAAATAATTATTATGATGCTCTCAAGAATATGGTTATGTCCACTTAATTTTAAAAGTCAGCTCATAAAAATATTAAGACAAAAACATTAAAATTTTGTGATGCAGATAAGTCACTCTTTCAACATGGTGTGCTGGAAAATTAAGCTTGATTGTATATTATTTTTCTGCAACAGCTGTAATTAGCATAATATTTGGACAAATGTCAGTCCACCGATGTTGGGAAAAATGGGCACTCTGGAATGTTTGTGGAGCTTCTGATATGGTGACTCAACATTTTAAAGTTTTGCACAGGATAAGGAATTAGAAGAGTTGGAAGGAATCCAACTACAGTTATCTTATCACAGCTGCAGTTACTTGAGAAATGCTGAAATGTACACTACTTTCAAACAGGGTCAGCAATCTTTTCAGGCATTGTATAATTTGATGTGATGCTTTAGAGCTAAAACATACGCATTAAAGAGATTTTTTTTTTCATTTTAAGAAACTAAGATCTTATCAGATTTCATGTTTTCTTGCCCAAAAACTGACAAGAGGGGAAAAAAAATAAAAATATTACAGTCTCATAGGATTTTGGTCATTTTAAGACAACAATCTAGAGAGGATATACTGCTAGTAAGCATCATACTACTTCTCCTTACAATTCCATTATTAGAAACGTAACAACCAATTCTTTGTTTCCATGTATATAAACTAATTTGTTGTCTGTAAACTATGGCATTTAAGACTTTCGATTCATGCAGAAGAAGGACTATAGGATTACAGGACTGTAATAGAAATGCATAGTTATACTTAGAATGAAGAACATTTACACACACACACACACCTCAGTATGCTGGACCCTGATTAAGTAGCCAAAATAAGGAAGATTATTTAATTTACAATTTATTTGAAACATTTTAATTAAAAAGTATTTCCTTTAGAGTAAGAAATTGTAGTTTGCACAACAAAGAAATGTCAACATCTGTGCAGTTACATCACGAAAAATTAGACATAATAATATGTAAGCATAAGGATTGAAAAGAGCATTGTATTCTGGATAAAAATAAAAAATATATTTGCAAGCAGAAATGTCAACATGGGTATTGGTAAGATATATTGAGGTCCAATACTTGCTTTGTTTGTTAGCTGAAAATGAAACTATTTTACCTCCAATGTATCAAGCACCTTGGCAAGATTCTGGTTTCTAAAAGAAAGGCTTTTTACATTCTTCTTGCTAATGGCCAGTTATTAACAAAACATTTAAAAGAGAAACAAAAAGAGCAAAAAAGCAAATTAAAATACAAACAAACCTATTTTAGTTAGCCAGTGCAACAGTACAAAATCCATATTGCAAGTATTACAAAGTCTATTCTACATGGCCCTGGTTACCTATCTGCCTTTAACAGCAAAGCAGTAGAAATTATGAAGACGATAGGGCAAAATAAGATGTTACTTCTACTTTAGATTTTTTAACATGGCATTAGACAAATAATGAAGGGCCAATCCATCAGCAGCTATTGGCAATAACAGACTGATACATTTATGTAGTATTTATTTTGAATACTGTTTTTTCAATAAGAACTTCTCCAAGCAATTTATTAAAGTTAAAAGAGTTCGATAAACATATTTCAATACAATTGCTATAGTTTCATCAGAGGTGGACTTTCACATGTAGAGCATTCACCCCTGAACCAAGCAACACATTTTCTCTACCGCTTTCCCCAACTTGAAGTCTTTAGTTGTGCTGGGATTACAACTTCCAAAATCCTTAGCCTTTGGTCATGCTTGTGGAAATTCTGGGAGCTGTATTCCCATTTCATTTGGATATAATGCAGAAAAACTACCATATCATACTGGTTTGTGAGCTTCCTCACTATTTTTTAAAATGGTGGATCTTTGGTCAGATATACCACATACTCCGAAAGAATCCAAGAGTATATAAAGATCTTATATTTTAAATCTGTCCAAATATTGTATGCCATCCCAATTGACAAATAGATAGCTCAGTGCTGCATGACATATCTGCTAAGTTCAAATGTAAAAAGGATATAATGAAGACTGTTTAAGACAACCAACAAGCTGCATTTAAGTTTGAGCTTGTTGAATATATTGTAACACCATTTATCAAGATTTACTTGCTCTAGAAACTTACACCCAACTGCTGAAATTTATCTGGATTAACCATATAAATAACAGAGAAATCCCAGAGACTACAGACTATTACCTAACTCAACCTTCCTATAAAAGAGTGACATATACTGTTCACCAGTTCATGCTTATAGTTCACTGAAATTTCAATCCTACACAGACTTAAGATCTACTGAAATCAAGGCAATCCTATATTGGCTGAATATACAGAATCTAAACAGAAGTAACTTTTGATACTTTTAGAGGGAGGCAAAGTAGATAACCATGGTGTTCCAGGAGAAGAAATAACAATACTGTGAGGAGCATCAAAAATTCTAGGTGATGCTTAAATATTTTTGTATGGTGTTTTACTTCATTTCTGAAAAGACTTTAGGCTTCATGTTCTAATGGTCTTGAAGTGGAGCCAGTTGACGTTATGTTAATATAAATGTATGCCGAGTTACCAAAAGGTTTCGAGGATCCCACTGTTTTCTATGGTAAGAAATATTAATCTATTGTAGTGGTCCCTCCAAGAGCAAGATCTGATGACTTAAAACTTTGTTTCCTTTGCAGCAAACATTAGCCTAAACTGTCCACAACAACCTGTTCATATAGTTTCCTGCCAGAGGGTGGAAGTCAGGCCTGTTTCCTTTCCACATGTTACAACAGGAAGGGCACAGTGAAGAAATTTCCTGAACATACTCCTCATCCACCCTTTCTCTGACAGCAGTGGAAGAATGATGTGGAGCAAGTATGACGAAAAAGATAACCTCAGGTTCATTCTTTCAGGACACAGTAACAAAGCACACCAGGCATTCAGCTGATGTCTGGGGTTTGGAGGTGTTCAGATAAGGAATAAATGTTGGATTTCCAAATCCAAAAGTTAGCCGAGTATCTAAATGACAATGCCAATAAAGCAAATGTTACTATGCCCTTAAGAAAAGCTGTTCTGTTCTAGGGTATCTGATCCAGTTCCCCAACTCCCTTTTTTAAGTGTGGATTAACCAGGGCAACTTGCCAACACAAATGAAAGAAAGTATGACACCCCCCCCCATCACACACACTACAATTCCTGGGTAGTGCTGATCCCTTCTAATTTTCATACCACCATCACCTTTCCTTCTGCAGTCATTGGACCCTGGCATTTGTTAGGCTGGTTCATTTCCTTTTTGCAGTATAATCATATGCAATGAAGATATGCATGGCCAACATTTAAGCAGGCTGCAGATCAATTAGTGGTCTTAAGTTTATCTGATTTTTATCAAAGAAGACAGAGCTGTGGGTCGATTGTCAGAGCCTGTGTCAAGATGACCTTTTCAGAGATGTCTACATTGTTGGTCCCCTGGGCAACTTGTTGTCCCCTGTTAGTCTCTGAATGACAGAAGTCTGTTCTGCTCAAGCACAAAGTATACACAGATGTCTATATTACATTCTTATAGGTTTGACAGCAACTGCATGTTGTATCTATAAACTGTCCTTTAGCAGTGACACATCCTCAATGATGATAAGCTAATTTATGCAGCTAAATCTCCTTTGTGAAGAAATGAAAGCTAATTGAGTCATTACAAAGTAATTCAGAAAGGAATACCTTGTATAAATTGGCTTACTTTATAAATCCTTCTCAAGCAATTTTCATGCATCCTAAATGGGGCTATTCAGATTCTGCCCTCCACCAAATCCCATTCAGCTTTAGTGCCATAGGAGAATGGTTAAGCTTCTAGAATTTCAAATATCTTTATTTGTGCTAGAGGGAAGGCAAGTCTTCAAAAGCAAATATAGACACCATATCCAACATACCTGAAATACTGCTTACAGCATCCTGACTTTGTTTGGTTGGTTCCTCACTCTTTCCTGGCGTTTCAGGTACTGTTGCTGTTTCTTCTGCAGATATAATAAGTTCAACAAACAAGTTAGTTTGAAGTATTTTAGTCCTAGATCATTCAGAAAAGACCAAGAAATAATTCATTTGTGCACACTTTGTCTCTTCAGAACATGTTGGAGGCTAAAACTGTGTTAAACACTTGCCACTCTCCCTTAGTTACAAACACCAACAGTTTGAATAAAAAACATACATAGCATATTTACAACCATTTGTTTTTTATAAAGATAGAATGTAGCTTTTAATTGCCAACAGGTCAGCCTTCCCAAATCTGGTGTCTTACATATGTCGTTAGATTAGCTGAGTTCAACATATTGGAAGTTTCCAATAGTTCTTTTCTTTGAATTTGCTTATAATCCTCTAAGGTTATTTTTCTAGAGCATTCTCCCAAAGCCAAAATTTTATTTTAGTTTACCTACTTACATGGTGATAACCACTAGCACTTTAAGACAATGCTGCCCAAGACATTTTGCTGCCTAAAGCAGAGTTCAAGTTAGGCCCAGCTTCACCGTCATCCCCATCAGAATAATTTCTGAATCCACCAGTTTCTTATTCACTAAAATACTGCATGAATCAGGTCATTTCAATTTACCTCTTGGCAGGACTACCCCTGCATCAAACTGACATACTTGCAGCCTTTTTTTCTCTTTTAAGTTATAAATATGTATGGAAAGCTTTGCCATGCTGCAAATTGTACAATTAAATCAACACAAGCTAATCTTCAACATCAAGAATGAAACACTAAAAGCTTTAGACCACAGTTATTCAAGTGACTTCTCCTTTATCCATCTAGACCCAATACTGTTCTACTCCTAATGGGGCATGATCACACAATTTGCTTACACTGAATTATAGCTACACCTGATTCCACTTTGAAAGCAGTCTGTGCATGATATACTGAAATACTTGGAAAAATTCCAACATCAGTGCTGAGAAAATCTGTGAACCAGCTGACTCTAACCACAAAATGCTGTTTTGTAGATTACAGGACTCACAAAGTATACAATTATCAGGTTATTATAAATGTGGGATTGTAGAATGATCTGTGAGAATTTTGTTGAGAGACAGGAGGAGGAAGAGCTGCAGCCAGGGCAACAATCAGATAAGAGCATCAATAGTCATAATATTGGTTTCTTGTCTGGACTACCTAGAAAGAGTGACAGATTGGTATACTTCAGAAGCAGTGCATCTGATTCCAGAAATCTACCAACTTATGTAACTGTACGGTTTTTACTCATCATTATGAACAAGTTTTTACTTAGAATTAATAAGGAGCACTCTATCACCTATAAGTATTGGGGAAGGCTTAATTATCATTACAATATTGCACCTAACTGCAATTCCTGTAACTAACAGCCCAGTCACAATTTAGATTCAGTTTCAACAAACAGTATTACGTGTCACAATTTCTGGACCACAACAATTTAGTTAGAGGCTAATAACATGACTGAATATTACAGTTCAGACAGTATCACTTTGTCTAATCTAATTTGATCTGATTGCCTCTCTTAGCAACTAGTTGGGCTCTGACTATGGCAGACCAGATGGTTTGATGTCCATTTAAAAGAAAGTTAACATCAATAAGTGTGTGTGATAATATTCAAAGTACAATATGTGGCTGGGTGTGCTCACTTTACAATTCATTTAATAGTTAGTGGTTCCTTGATTGTTCAGCTGGGGTCAGCATGTTTAATCTAATGTGGAAATCCAGCTTGCAATGTCTAGCAATGAAACTTCCTGGGTGGACCATAGTAAGGTCTACTACCTTGTAGCCTGCCAGATTAGGTTTTTGTCTAGATAAAATAGCCTCACTTCACACAAAGGAAAATGCAATGAAAATGCAGAATAGTAAAACAGGTCCTCATGCTACATGTTAATCAAGCACACTGACAAGACTTGAAAAATCTTTTTATCTTACTATCAGGGACACCAAACTCTCATTCCTTAGTCACATCTCATGAACAGTCAGATCCATTGATGTCCAGTGGGGAATCCACTGTTCCAGTGGACATCAGTCTTAAATAATTCACACTTGATAAGCATTACTTAATTTGCAGCATTTTGCAAAAGACCATTTTTGCTGCTAAAAATGTTGACAAACTTTATTTGTGGCATTCAAGCAACAATGCCAGCTGTTCTTATCAATTTATTACTGTACAGTCTTGGCAAATGATAAACAATGCAATACTTAATTTTAGTTGCACTTAATTAAGAAATCTGCTCTTTCAAAAACACTCTTCCACATAATTTAGTCTAGGCAACCCAGCAACCATTAGCGGACATTATTCTAACAGCCATATGTTATTTCCTATTTGTTATATCCTGTCAATTAAACATTTACTTTATATGCATTTTTTTTAATTTTTATAATAGTTTTAGAATACATAAAAATGTTTGTGTGCTTGTATGCATAAAGACAATCTTCTCATCCAACTTTAGAAAATAATTACAGCAGCTTTTTTTGACGCCTTAAATAAATTAATTATAAGATTAAGCTTTCCCATATCATATTTCCTTTCTTTACTGCTTGCATAATTACCTATAAGCTTTGAGGAATTTCTCTGGACACTCAAAGAGGTGAACACATCACGTTCAATAGATAAAACAGAACACATCAAATAAATGGATATAAAAACTGTCTAAATTTGATTTCTACGGTGCACTTCTGCCATACATAACATAAATAATCTTTTGGTGGATAAGCCAATCCTTAACTAAGTCCTTCTATCTCCTTCTCATTCAAAGCTCTAGTCCCTGTCACAAAAATACCTACATTAACCCTAATTAATAGCCCATTAATAACAAGCACTCTGTTGGGCTACATTAGTTAGGGAACGCTCTGTCACTAAACAATATTAATACTTCAGATAGCGAACTTGGGGGTGAATATATTCTACTCAATACTTCAACAATGGTAAACAAAAACAGCTGAACTATGCAGTAAAATTCATCAAAGCACACAGATGGTTGTAAGATTTTCATTATGTAGTTTCTATAGCAATCATATTGCAAATCTGGAAGCTTCTTGCAAATAAGCAGCTTGTGTTTACATGCCTTTCAGCTGCACTATGGAATTCTTAATATGAGAAGTGATTACTCCAATCACATTAGAAAAATGACTAGGATATACAGTCACATTTTCTGTTGATATCTAAGACTAGTTTCTCTGTGAAAGCTAGTTGTTGATAATTTCATGTTCTTAGCAAAGGAGCGTGCATCCTTTGTAAGCTGTGATCTCAGCATGTTCAATATGCAATACTTGTTTCAACTGCAGAAGTAAATATACTGTATCATCTTTTAGACTCTACCAAAGCATTGTTGTGAGCCTCTTTATGACCATCTAAGGAGGTAGGCAACAGCAGCAGCAGAATGACGTAGCATACTGTGCAGTATCTGGAGCACCAGACACAAGATAACCATCATAAACATTCTTGTTTTGAAGACTAACAGACCAGACACTTTAGGTAGATAACAGGGCCAAAATACTGAATACTACAAAAGTCAGCAGTGACTAACCACCCTCTTGTTGCCAGAGGACTGCTAATATATAAAGGGAATTTGAATGATTCTGCTGTATATAAATTTTGGACCACTTACTTCAATTCATTTCAGATCTGCAATAACATTTCTATAAAATTTAAGTATGGACTTTTGATTGGGCCATCCCAAAATGTCTCTTGTAAATTGTCATGTATGTTTGGAATCACTTTTTGCTGTATGAACACTTCAGCTTCAACTGCTATTTTTCTATAGAAATTTTCCCAATATAATGCATTTAATGATGGCCGTTGTTCATGTCTTGAGCCACCAAAGCATTTCCAAATTATAACATTTTCATGTTTGAAAGCTGGTATAAGGTTCTTACTGGGAGGCAGTGTTTCGTTTTCACAGCCCTAATAATATCCATAGCTTGAAAACTTCTACTTTTGACTCATCTATTCTCCTAGAATCTGGAGGGATATCCACTTTTTCGTAAACTTGAAATGAGCACTGACATTTTTTTCCTAGAGCCATGGGTTTTTTTACCTAGCTATCGTCCCATAATTCCTATTTTTACCACTGTTTTTCTGACAGGTGAATCATTAGCTTTGACTTTGACCAAGGAAAGAAGAACTTGCTCATCCCCAGATGCTCTTCCGAATCCTCTGATTTCCTTGATGGTTTTATCCGGCTCTTTTGCAATCATTTTGACAGGATAAACATTCTCAGGAAGATTTAATATGGCCTCAAATCTCAAATTCAAGATTATCTGGAAAAATGATTCCATAATATTTTCCAGATTGATAAGCATCAAAATAGTTCTACAAGGAAGTTTTTAGAAATTGAGTTTATGTTACCTCTTTTTGCAACCCTCTGCAATGCAATTTTCTATATAATTTTACACATCCTAATTACTTTCTAAATACATTTTCTATACAGTGTTGATTCTATCCACACTGATATGAATGCTTCTATTCAAATAATACCGAGAATGACATTCTGATTACAGGTAATCCTCAACTTACAACCATTCGTTTAGTGACCATTCAAAGTTACAAAGGCACTGAAAAAAGTGATTTATGATCATTTTTCACACTTATAACCACTGCAGCATCCCCATATTCATGTGATCAAAATTCAGACACTTGGCAACTGACACACATATATATATGAAGGGTCATGTGATCCTCTTTTGCAACCTTTTGACAGTCAATATGGAAGCCAATTTTACCATGCTATTAGTATAATAACTGCAGTGATTCATTTAACAGCTGTGGCAAGAAAAGTCATAAAATGAGGCAAAAATCACTTAACTGTCTCGTTTAACAACAGAAACCTTGGGCTCAATTGTAGTTGTAAATCAAGGACTATGTAAGGACCCACCCCACTTTGCATCTTAAGAAGACAGAACTCTTGGAATAATTCTTCCAACAGGAATCCTTTATTAAGAAGAAGTGGTTGCAGGCGTGCTAGACAGGACTTGGGGTCCAAGCTCTCCCATTCAAGGTTTTAAGGGGTTCCC